GGAGGAGGAGAAGGAGGAGGAGGAGGAGGAGGTGGAGGTGGAGGTGGAGGTGAAGGTGGAGGAGGAGGGGGGAGGGAAAAACGTCGCATTCGATTTTCAGCACTTTCCTGGCATGGCGTTTAGTTGTCCGCAGCAGATCCTCACGCACATGCTCCTTCTACCGCTCTTATGCACGCAGGCGCTGTGGTGTACACTACCGCTGCGTTGCACGCGGATGCTGTGGTGTAGACAGGCGTTGTGGCGTGCACAGGCGCTGCGGTGCACGCAAGCATTGTGGTGTACACAGGCGCTGTGTTGCACATGGTTGCTTCGGTGTACACATGTACACCAGTGGTGCTAGTGTACGCAAGCACTGTGGTGTACACAGGCGCTGCGTTGCACACGGCTGTTGCATTGTACGCAGGCATTGTGGTGTACACGCGCGCTGTGGTGCACGCGAGCGTTGTGGTGTACACAGGCGCAGTGGGGGAGATCGCCACCTACATGCTGCTCGCGTCGTCGTCGTCGTCGTCCTCGTCGCTTGTCGCTCGTCGCTCGTCGCATCGTGTGCGCGTGGGCGCGGCTGTGGTGCCGGAGCAAGACGGTGGGGGGGGGGGGGCGTTACGTCATACTACCCCCCCGCCCCCCCCCGCTCCAATGACGCCCGTCATCGCCGAACTTCAAAAACTCGCTCCGAGGCACCTCCTTGAACTTTAGAGAAGAATCGCGCTCGCGCCGGATACTCCTTCACAATTTATTCAGGCGTCGGTCGCGCTGTCGGCACTCAGGAATCGCGCTGTCGCTTGGGACACCCTCGCAATTGATTCAGGCGCCGCGCCTTCGGCACTCAGGAATCACGCTCTCGTGTCTGATTCCCTCACAAGATTTACTTTGGAATCGCGGTGTCGCTCAAGATTTCCTCGCGATTCATGCAGGCCGCACGCTAAAGCAACCCGCGTGTTCGACCTGGCCGCCTGGGCCCGCTTTTTAGGGTCTGCCCGCCAAATCTGCCCGTCTGGTTCTGCCGCGTGTTTTATGCTCCTAGCCCCCATCCTGCTGTTCTCTCTTGTGGTCCATCCTCATCTCTCCCCGTTGTCCCTTCCTTCCATCCGTCCTCTTTTCCCCTGCCTTAGGTGCAGCACGAAGTACACGTTGCAGGTAAGAAAGGTATACCACCAAGGGGATACGATTGAAGACGAAGAGGATGCGTCTTGAGGGTTCGGGATACACGTGTTGAATGGCACCCGATCAGATAAGAGCGAGCAGTCTTCAAATGATTGGTTTTGTTGTTGTTGTGGTGGTTCTTTCATTTCTGAAGAATAATGGCTGTTCATCCCCCACTCCGGTAATATGTGTTTTTTCGAATGAAGTGCCCCTCCTGGGGCTCGCACCCTGCTTTTAGCAGGACAAGTCTTGGTGTTCAAACGGCGTCCACGGCCCCCGAACTACAACAACAACGGCTCCCGCCCGATACTTCCTCGCAGCTGATTGAGATGACCTTGCAGTTTACGCCAGCGCACAAGGACGCCACGAGGAGAAGTGCGAGGAGAAGGAGGAGGAGGAGGAGGAGGAGGAGGAGGAATCGCGATCTCGCTTGAGATGTCCTTGCAGCTTCCCCAGGCATCGCGCTCTCGCCCGAGACTGCCCCTGGCCATTTGCCGAGGCGCCGCGCTCTCGCCAGGCAGGAGACTCGCGGCCTCGCCTGGGAATGCTTCATCAGTTGCTCACTCCTCCTCCTCCTCCTCCTCCTCCTCCTCCTCCTCCTCCTCCTCCTCCTCCTCCTCCGCGCTCCTCCTCCTCCTCCTCCTCCTCCGCGCTCCCGTCTGGGACTTGCCTTCACATGTTGCAGGACCCGCGCACTCGCGATGCTCAGGAGCCCTGCCTTCGCTTACGACTTTCCCCGCAGTCCACCGAAGAATCGCGCTCTCGCCTGGGACCTCCCTGCAGTTTGCTCAGGCGCCACCGGCTCGCAATGCAAGAAGCGCGCCCTCGCCTGGGATTCTTCGATCGTTGGCTCAAGACCCGCGCTCTCGCCAAGGACTTCCCTGCGAACCGGCAGGAACCACGCATTCGCGACCCGCCCGTTTGACCCGCCCGTCAGGGTCTGCCCGCCCGACCCGCCCGCAAGGCCCGCAGTCGCCGCTCGCTGCTCTTCGCCCGCTTCGATGCGTCTCGCTGCCCCTCGCGGTACCCGCAGTCTGCCTTCGAGGCCCCGCCGCTGCCCTCGTGGCCCCTCTCCTTGAGCCCCTCGATGCTCTTCGTGGCCCCGCGGTCGCCTTCCGTGGCCCCGTCGCTGACCTTCGTGGCCCTGGTGCCGCTTCTCGTGGCCCTCTCGCTGCCCGCTCTTGGCCCCTTTGCAGCCCTCACTGGCCCCCTCTTTGCGCTCCGTGGCGCCATGCGTGCTCGTCGTGCCCCCTCTTTGCGCGTCGTGGCGCCATGCACGCTCTTCGTGGCGGTCTTGCTCTTCGTGGCGGTCGTGGCCCCCGGGCCGCTCGTGCCCTCCGGGGCCCCCCCTGGCTGCCGTTCGTGGCCCCGGCGTTGCCCTGCGTGGCTCCCTGGCTGCCCTTCGCGGCCCCGTTGCTGCCCTCTGTGGCCCCCCCGCTGCCCGTTGTGGCCCCGTTGCGTGGCTGCCCTCTGTGGCCCGCCCGGTCGGACTGGTCGCCCGGGCCCGCCTCCCCGACGCGCCCGCGGTGGCTCTGCCCACCCGATCTGCCCGCCTGGGTCTACCACTCGTATTGTGCTCCTTGCCCCATCCTGCTAGTCTCTCTCGTGCTCCATCCCTCTCCTCTCTCTCTCTCTCTCTTTCTCTCTCGCTCTCTCTCTCTCTCTCTCTCTCTCTCCCCCTCCTCCCCTTCCTCCAGCCGTCCACGTGGCAGGTAGGGAAGATGTGCCCCCAAGGGGGCACGATCGAAGACGAAGAGGGCGGGTACCGAGGGCTTTGGAAATACGTATTGGATGGCACGTGAGCAGGTAGGAGCGAGCAGTCTTAACAAGATTGACGTTGTTGTTGGTGTTGTTGTTGCTGCTGTTGTTGTCGTCGTCGTTTCTATTGGTGTTGGTGGTGGTAGTGTTGTTGGTGGTGGTGGTGGTGATGGCGTTGTTCTTGTTGTTGTTGTTGGTGTCGGTGGTTATGTGGTTGATGTTGTTGTTGTTGTCGTTGTTGGTGTTGGTAGTGGTGTTGGTGTTCTTGTTGCTGCTGCTGCTGTTACGGTTGTCGTTGTTGGTGTTGCTGTTGGTGTTGCTGCTGTTGTTGTTGCTGCTGTTTCTGCTACTGCGGTTGTTGCTGTTGCTGCTGATGCTGGTGTTTTGGTTGTTGTTTTTGTTGTTGTTGTTGTTGTAATTGTTGTTGTTGTTGTTGTTGTTGTTGTTGTTGTTGTTGTTGTTGTTGTTGTTGTTGTTGTTGTTGTTGTTGTTGTTTTTGTTGAACACTATTACTTCTAAAGAATTATTATTGTTGGACCCCCTGGTGCACGCCCCCCGCCCAAAACCTAGGCCGCAGCTACATTTTCATCATTTTTCTGCGAAAGCTTCAGAAAAGTGGATTACCCCCGGATCCGGTTTTTTGTTGACGCTCGTTTTCCCTTGCAAAAAACAATAGAAAATGAAAATTCTTGTTCTTAGTTGATCAAATTTCAAGAATCCCTTGCAAAAAATAAGGTAAAGTGGACATTCGCGCTCGCAAGACGAAATCCTTCCAAAACCTTAGGTTTCGTAACGATTTTAACATAAAAACATCAAAAACCCAATGGTTTTTTAAGAAAAAATTGTCAAAATGTCCTTCCGCGCGCTCTTGCGGATTCATAGGAAACACACCACTTTTTAAACATTTCTGTCAAAAGGGTCTTTGCGTGCTACTTCTTCAGGTGCTTTGAACTTCTCCAACAACGGTTGCGCGCCTGCGAGGGCCACCATCCCTTGCAAAAAATGAGACGAAGTGCACATGCGCGCGGCCGCCGCGCGCGCATGTCGAAATCCTGCCAAACACAATGGGTTTTCAATAATTTCAAGATGCGATGTTCAGAAAACATATGAAAACGCACTACTTTCTCATCCGAAAAATCTCGAAATCCATTCGCGGTTAACGATTTTAACATAAAAACATCAAAAACCCAATGGTTTTTTAAGAGCTGGCCGGGGTACTTCTGTAATCGCATCCCCACGAATTTGCCCCAAAAATGTGACCAACTATCTTGGCACTGCGTACCATCTCACGTGTACCGTGTACCACATCATATGTAACAGATGTGATCAACCTCTGTGGGTGTGTACCCCACGCCAGTGTAGTAGCCAGGGTCGTCCGCACGCCACGAAGTGAAGTGTCCCAACGTCATAGGGCGGGAAGCTGGGTGTGGGTGGTCTCGAAGAGTCGTTTGGATATTTGGTAGAGCTTGAACGGCCCCCCCACGAAGTGGGGGTATTGGCTGGTGTCGCAAGAAAACCCTGGCACTGGGGAGAACACTGAGCGTTCGGGTAAAATGATTGTTGTTGTTGTTGTTGTTGCTGTTGTTGTTGTTGTTGTTGATGTTGGTGTTGGTGTTGGTGTTGGTGTTGTTGTTGTTGCTGCTGTTGTTGTTGTTGTTGTTGTTGTTGTGCGTAGCGCGGGCCCCTGGAGGTCAGGCCCCCCCCCCGCGACGGGCTTTTCGCCTCGAGGCGTGCTCCGTCGACATCCCCCTCTTGGGGCCGGGGGGAGCCCCCGACGGGCCGGGAAAAAGCTTGACGCGCCCTGCCCTCGGCAACTTCTCGCGGCGCGGCCAGGGTGCCCCCAGCTTCTTTTTTTTTGCGTGCCGCTGACTTCTGGAACCCCCCTGGCGCCCTCCTGGGCCTCGTGACTGGGCGCTCTGGAGGCCGCGTGGGCCTTCTTGGAGCTCCTGGGGGCTCCTGGGGCCAGGGGCACTTCTTAGCAGCACCCGAGAGGAGGAGCGGGGCCTCGGGACCGAGCAGCGTGTTGCCCCCGACATCCTCGCGCGCGCGCGCCCGCGTGGCACGGGGGCCGGCCGCCGCGGGGGAGGGGGCCGCTGCAGGCCGCGTGCTCGTGTGGAACATGCCGCTCGAGGAGGACACGGGCCGCCCAGGAGGAGTCGGCAGCATGGCAGGGTCGGGGAAGCGCGAAGCTCGAGAGCGCGGGAGGCGAGTCTGGGTCCCGGGACGCTCGTCGCCACGGCTGGGTTCGCCTCGAGGCCATGGTCGCGGAGCGCGCTTCGAGAGTCGCGTGTGGGAGGAGGTGCGCAGCAGCTGGAGGGAGCATCCAGGCCAACCAGCGCAGATCGAGCGTAGCACAGGAGGCTCAGCGCCGGGAGCCTCGTGTGCACGTCGGTCCTTGAAAGTCGGTATCTCTGGCTTGGCATCGCTCGGACGTGTGCATGTTTCCTTCGGCGGGGACCATCGAGGAGCATCCTTGATCATTTGGCGAAAAAGCCACGCACGAAGCCGAAAAAAACTCAGGGAATGGACGTCCGAGCGATGGCCAGCTGGACGCCCAGGTCCCAATCTGCTTCAAGCGTCTTCCTGCATCCAGAACCGATATGCTTTTGTGCTGTGTGTTTCGTTCTTCTCCGGGAGGGCCTGCGCCGAATCTACTTGATCCGCGTCCCTACTTCATGTGTTCACCTACTTCTTCCGACCGACGGGTACCCTTGTTCTGGGCCTCCCAGATGGGGTCGGAGTAGATGGGGCCGGAGGATCGCAGCGCATCGCCGATGCATCGGCGACGCGGCGGGATGCGGAGCCCGATTTCCCCATGCCGACATCGCCAAAGCAAAGAAGGTCTCGCGGCCGGTCTCGCGGATCGGGGGGCCGCGTTCATAGATGTGGTTGGGTGCGTACGTCCTTTGTTGCCCGCCCCCTTTTGTTCTGGGCCTCCCAGATGGGTCGGGGTAGATGGGGTCGGAGGATCGCGGCGCATCGCCGATGCATCGGCGAAACGGCGCGATGTGGAGTCCGATTGTTTTGATGCCGTCATCGCCGATGCCTCGCCGACGTCGCCGCGGCATCGACCACGGGCCGCCCAGGTTGGACTCGGTCACTAATCAGGGTCGGGGAACGTAAGATTCGAGTGCGCCAGAACGCGGGTTTGCCGACATGGTTTGACGGGCGTGTCCTGGATTCTGACGGTCCCGTTGTCGTGGGATGTTTGCAGCGGGAGCTCGCTCCGCATGTCAGGCTGGGTCTCGTCATTTTCATCACGGCCCCGTCGGGCCAGTGCGAGTCCCCCGAACCCGACTCTTGCGTCTCCCCGACAAGGGAGCCCTGCGTACGCCCGCAATTCCGCCTTCAGAGCGCAGTGGCGTCGATTAGCGTCTGGTAGTCGATTGGATTCGGTTGGACCGAGGTAGCAGATCGAGGTAGTTTCGGGGAGGGAACCTTCGTGTTCTTCGTGTTTGTTGGATGGGTTTGGTGTTTGTGCATCCTGCGGTGGGTACCCCTGTATGTTCTGTGTGTTTTGGCCGGCGGAGGGTCTTCATGTTCTTGAAGGAGGTTCTTCTGTTCTAGGTCCGGCTCTCCTAAATCAGGGTAGGCTTGGGTACCCTTGCAAGTCCGTCTTCAGAGCGCAGTTGAGTCGATTAGCGTCTGGTGATCGATGAGATTGCACCGATTTAGCACAGATTTAACGTCGTTGAGAGCATCGATTCGCGTCGATTCACCAGAGCCAGCAAGATGTTTTTCTATGCTCCCGTGAGCTGCCGCAGGGGGAGGGCGAGGGGGGGGGGAGATCTTTGGAGGAGCAGGTGATGAGGTACGTTTGAGTTTGCAGGGTTGGGCACCCCCTCCCTTCCTCTCCTCCGCCTCGAGTCTGGACCGCGAGGCAGCCGCGGCAGCAGCTGGCTTGGGCCATCATCCTCTTCTCTGTCCTCGTCCTTGCTCGTTCTCCCTCTCTTCCCCTGGGTTCTCCTTGGAGCGCGTGCGCCTGATTTCAAGTTCTGGTTTTACTTATATGGTCGCCCCGTTCGAAGCTCCGTCTTCGCTTTGTGCGTGCGTGTGTGACGTAGACAACGGTAATTGGCATTCGTGGGCCCCCCTCGTGGCCACCGCTAGGACCCTGGGAGGGGTGCAGGGACCGATTTTGAGTTGCCGTTGTATCCGCTCCTCCTGCGCCAAAACACAGATAAGCGGCATACGCATGAATACGGGAACCTTTGCTCAGCCAGCGTGTCGCCCCGGCGGTTCTGGCGCACCGCACTTCGGCGCGACATGCTGTCCACGTCCCCGGTCCCCAAGCATCAACGCCCAGGGCTTTCTCGGCCTCCCGCCCAGCGGAGCGGAGCGACACGCCATCCATTGCGTGGCGTAGCGTGTCGCCGGGCCCGCAGCCGCGACATGCTGGGCAGCAGCTCCCGAGCTTCCGGAGGGTCGCGCGGACGTCTTCGATCGGCGTTCGGCCTCCATGGCGGCGCCCCGGATGTCGACCCCCCGGGCGGGGGTCCAGCGCCGACCCAAGGAGTCCGCGTGGGCCCTCCTCCTCCTCCTCCTCCTCCTCCTCCTCCTCCTCCCTCCTCCTCCTCCTCCCTCCTCCTCCTCCTCCTCCTCCTCCCTCCTCCCTCCTCCCTCAGAGGAGGAGGGCCGTGTCCGAGGTATATAGAGGCAGGTCTCACTCTTTGTCGGCCTCCATGGAGACTGCTCGTCGCCGCGGCTGGAGTTCCCTGGGGATTCCTGGCAGGACGCATCGCTTGAGAGGCGCGTGGCCAGGGTTTTGAAGGAGGATCCCCAGACCCCGTCGATCGTGGCTCGAAGATCGAGGTCTTCTGTGGCTTTGGGGCCTCCGGGGGCGGCCTCTTTGGCCTTTTGCCTTCTGGTTCCTCGGACTTCAGGTCCAAGCGCACTTCGGGACGGGTCCGAGGGCCCATTCTGAACCGGGGACCCCGGACTCCGCCGAGCCGTGGCGAACCACGACGGGCGTGTGTTGGGGCGTCCCTCTCCACACCTCTTGGCGTTCTGGGGCCCTCTGCCGAGCCCCGGGACCGTCAGCAAACAGCTGGCCCAGGCCGGAGCGCTGGCTCCGTGCAGGGCCGAGAGACCTCCCGGGGGGGGGGCCCGCGCGGCGGACGAGTCGCGCGTGGCCGGGGAGAGGCCACGCCGCGAGGCCACGTCACGACGTCGGGGGCCCGGGCTGCCAGGGAATCGAGGGTCGGAGGGTTTTTGACGTGCCGGGGCTGGCTGGCCGGAGACGGCCCGATAGCCAGATGGTCTGGTGCCGGAAATTTTCGGTAGCGATGTCGACGCACCCCGAATTTCGGTAGCGACCGGATCTTCGTTGGAGGGCGTTGAAATAGCGGATTTCAGAACGCTCTGATACCGGTATTGGGCGCTACATTTCGGTATTTCGGTAGCGACCGATCTCTGCGGAGCGCTACCGGAAATTTTCGGTAGCGGACCATCAGGGTAGCCGCTCTGGGAGAAATGCGGGAGGAGGGTGCAGATCTGGGTGGTGGAGGGCCGTGGGCTTCTCGGGGGCCTCCTTCGGGGTCACGTCGGAACGTTTTGCGCGTCCTGGTGGCCAACTTGGGGCATCTTGCGAGCGCTCTGAGGCCATCTTAGGGTCCGCCGTCCATTGATCTCCACTGTTGGGCCGCTGGTGGGCGGAAGTGGGCCCCTCTTGGGGCCCTCCTCGGGCCAGGGCGCGCGTAGAGGGTCTGCGGATCCCTCTTGGGGCTCTCTTGGGCGCCTCGTGGAGCTACCTCAAGATTTGAGGGTCATCTCGGGGCCTCAGAAGCCCATTGAAAGCGACGAGGCGGAAAGAATGCATCACCTGCACCCCGTTGGCGTTGGACAGATTTCGTCGTCTTGTGGGGGGCATACCTGGGAGGTTTTCGTGGCCATTTTGGGCCGTCGTGTGGCATTTGGGTCTTGTGGGGAGCATGCTAGAGAGTATCTGGCGGGGTGGAACGCGCCCTTGTGGCATCACTGACGAAGCCCGCGGAAGTGGTGCAGTTCTTGAAACGGCGTCCAGGGATTTCCTCATCCCAAGGTAGGGGGCCATGTCGGTCATTCTCGGATTTTCTGGATATGTCTCCCCGCCCCCCGGATGACCTCGTCTGAGATGGAGAGATTCGTTGGATGCGTGAGCGGCCTTCCATGCATGCGTTTCACTTGGTGCATTTGCCTACTTGCCATAAGCGCGTCTGCCCCTCAGGGGACCTCTCCGGCTACCGGAGCCGGCACGCAGACTTCCTGCCCTGTCCTGTCCCCCCCCCCCCGGACTTCAGGGGCCGCCACGCGGGCGTGCTCCAGCAATGTGTTCCCAGCAGTGCTTGCATGCAGGGGCTCTTACTCGGGCTTCTTCTGGTAATCTGTTGGGTGTGCCGGGTTCTCGGTTCTTGCCCAGTTGGTGGGCATCCGTGAAATCCGTGTGGGCGCCTCGTTTGGGGCATGTGTGCCGAGGTCTCGCCTGGTGCCCGCCCATGGGCGCCTCGTGCGCTGGGTGGGTGTGCGGAGGTCTCGCCCGTGCGGAGGCTTTGCCTGGCGCCCGCTTGTGGGCGCCTCGTGGGTGCCTCATGTGTGTCTGCGTGTGTGCATTTGTGTGTTGCGTGTGCGGATCGTTTCAGGAGGGAAAAAAACACACAGACACAATTGATCGTTGATTCCCAGAAAGTATGGGAAACCATGGGAAGTGGGGGGAAGACAAAAACCCAGACGATATGAGAAAGTATGGGGAATCCTGTTATTTGTATGTATTTATTTGTGCGTCCCAGGGCCCCTTCATAGTTGTGTGTGCGGGTGCCGAGGCTTCGTCCAGTGACCGCCCGCGGGCGCTTCGTGGGCGCCTCGTGCGCCTGGGCGGCTGCGTCTGTTGCACTGCAGCGTTTAGCCGCAGATGCTGCACCGCACCGCTTACACCACAAAGCTTGCACCACACAGCTTACACCGCACAGCCTACACCTCGCATCACGCACAGAGTGCACCGCACAGCCTACACCACGTAGCTTACACCCCATAGCTTGCACCGCATAGCTTACACCACACAGCTTCATCTGGCGTGCACCGCACAGCTTGCGCCTCGTAGCTTGCGTCAGCTTGCACCGCCTAGCTTGCAACACAAAGAGCTTGCACCCCATAACTTGTGCCAAAGAGCTTTGACATCCACGGTGCAACAACTTATGGTTTTGGGCCCACGCTGGCAAACATACATATTGCGAACCTTTTCCAGAGGTTTTAGCACGCCGCTCGACCGTTGGATTAGTGACTGTCATACGGGTTGGTCCTCTCAACCACCTGCACCCCCAGGCCTGCTATGATCATCCACGCGCCTTCCCTTCGCCATCCGTTTGCGTTGCTGTATCAATATGATTGCTTCATCTGCTCTTAGGTGTGGTGTCGTCTCAATGACTAGGCAATCCGCGTCAGACGCGACAGCTGTGGCGACGACGTGGACGACAGGGACGACGACAGCGATCGTAACGGCGCCGACGACGGCGATGACTCTAGCGATCACCACGACGGCGACGAAGCAGCAGCAGCATCAGCAGCAGCAGCAGCATCGTCCAGAGGCCTAGAGCGGATCGAGCACGCCCCAGGCACTTCGACTTCCGTCCTCGCTCCTCCCCCCTTCTCCTTCTCCGCCTCTTCCTCTTCTTCCTCCTTCTTCCCTCCTCCTCCTCCTCCTCCTCCTCCTCCTCCTCCTCCTTATCCTTAACAATTACTCAATATGAATACTACTCTCCCTCTTCCCCCGATGACGGCCTGGGAGTGTCCGACCCCCCCCCGCGTACTGTTTTTTACACGCAGGTTTCCCCAGAGTTGGGTTTTCGCATGCCTTTTTTTTCAAAATGCTGCTCTCACTGAGGCTCCGGCCTCATTTTCGGGCCCCGCTCGTTCCGAATCATGCTCCCGCTGCAGCGCTGGCCTCATTTCCGTGCTTCCGCTCGTTCCGAATCGTGCTCCCGCTGCAGCGTTGGCCTCATTTCCGCGCTTCCGCTCGTTTCGACTCGTGCTCCCGCTGCAGCGCTGGCGTCATTTCCCGTGCCATGCCACGGCGTGCAATGCAATGCTAGGTTGATACTACGCTTTGCGGTGCTCTTCTACGCCATGCCATGCCGTGCTCTACAATGCATCGCGTACCCTTTCGGGATCATTGCCCTGCTCGACATCCGACTGTGCGAGTAGAGAGGGGATCTGCGCCATGGTAAGGGATGGGAGGGAGGGGTAGGATGTCAGATATGACGCGAGCGCACCTAGCTTGTCCTCCTCCCCCTCCCCCTCCCCCTCCTCCTCCCATATCATACTCCCACTCCTCCTCCGCCGCCCTCTTCCTCCCTCCTCGTGCATCGTCCTCCTCCTTTTCCTCCTCCTCCTCCTCCTCCTCCGCCGCCGCCTCCTCCTCCTCCTCCTAGTCCTCCTCCTCCTCCTCCTCCTCCTCCTCCTCCTCCTCCTCCTCCTGTCGATAGGCGACGGGGCACAAGCACAGAGAGGCGGTCGGCAAGCCCCTGGTGGCTGACCTCGTCGCCGAGGACGCTCGCGAGAAGGCGGCCCCGGCCGCACGCGTCGCCCTTCGTCCCCCCCCCCGATTGGAGCAGGGGGGACGGACGGGTACGGCGCCAGGGGTCGTGGACCCGCAGCCCTTCCAGGATCGAGGAGGGATCGAACCACGTCTTCGCGCTTTGCGTATCCCCACCAGCCCACTCACAACCCCTGCCCCTGCGAGCTGGCTGGAGGCGAGACGACGAGGCACATCTGTAGAGACAGACCGGGCAGCCAGGGTACAGAGATCCTTCGAGCAAGGGAGTGGCTTTGGAGGGCCTTTTCGGGCCATCCCTGGGGCCCGAGTGGGGGCCGTGGAAGGAGAAGGAGGAGTAGGAGGAGGAAGATGAGGACGACGACCACGACGACGAGGAAGAGGAAAAGCAAATGGCAGATGATGAGAACAAGGACGAGGACGAGGAGGAGGAGGAGGTGGAGGAGGAGGAGGAGGAGGAGAAAGAGGAGGACGAGGACAGAACCCTCAAAATCGCCTCTCGGATCCCTTTCGGCACACTTGTGGAGGATCTCAGGGTCCTCTTGGGGATCTCTTGGGGGTTCTGGGTCCTCGTGGGGCCCTGTTAGAGCCCTCTTGGGGGTCATTTGAGAGCCTCTTGGGGCCATCCTGGAGGTCATCGATCAAAAGGGTGGTGTCCTCGATTCTCGCCCCCCCCCCCCCCCCCCCTCTGGAGACATCTAAATCGCCTCTTGGGGCCCTCTTGGGACGCTCTTGGGGCGATCTTGGGCGCTCTTGGGGCCGTCTTGGGGACATCTTTGGCCCATCCTGAGGCTCTCTCGGGCCATCTTGGGACCATCTTGAGGCCTCAAAAGCGCATTGGAAGCGAAAGGGCGAGACACATAAAAGACCCAACCATATGTAGTTGTGAGTACCGCGTTGTGGGGACGGACCGCTTTCGGTGGAGCTCCCTTTGGGGCCACGAAACGTCTGAGGGGTTCGCCGAAATGGGCGCGGTGGTGCCATGCGGGCGCTGCCTTGGGGCCTTCAATGGAGCTCCTTATGGGGTCACGAATCGCGCGAGGGGTATGCCGCAACGTGTGCGGTGGTGCCATGCGGGCGTTGCCACTGAGGCCTCAGGTGCAGCTCCCTCCCTATTGTGTCGCGAAGCGTGTGAAGGGTGTGCCGAAATGGGTACGGTGGTGCCATGCGGATGCTGCCATTGGGGCCTTCGGTGGAAACGTGCGAGGGGTGTGCCGAAATACGCACGGTGGTGCCATGCGAGCGCAGCCACTGGGGCCTTCGGTGGAGCTCCTTACGGGGCCCCGAAACGCGTGAGGGGTGTGCGGAACGGGTGCGGTTGCGCCATGCGAGCGCAATCATTGGCGCCCGCGGTGGAGCTCCCCATGGGGCCAAGCTCCTCCCACTCCCCCGAGCGTCGCCTGCCGAGACGCCGGCCTGCCGATGACGCCGCTGCCGACTTTTTGAGGCACTTGGTTTTTTTTTTTGCGATCGCCAAGGGTGGCTTCACGCGTTCTCCCTTCCTGCACGTCTTGGTCGGCACCGAGGCCGTCGCAGGCTGCGTCCAGACCGCGACTTTTCACGGGACGCGTTTGCCCGGCCTGGTCCCGCATAGGCTCCGTATCGGTGGCTGGCGGCCCTCTGGCTCCAGTCCCAAGCCACCCCCTGGGGGCCGCACTCCTTGGGGGCTGGTGGCCGCTCCTCCCCTTTCCCTCTTCTCCTCTGCCCCCCCTCCCCCTCTTTCCTCCTGCCCCTCGCCCCATCTGCTCCCCTCCCCCTCCGCTTCCCTCTCCCTCCCCCTCCCCTTTTTCCCTCCTGCCCTGGCCTCCCCCTCTCCTCGTCGTCGTCGTCGTCGTCGTCGTCGTCGTCGTCGTCGTCGTCGTCGTCGTCGTCGTCGGCCGTCATCGTCGGGTGTCGTCGTCGTCGTCGTCGTCGTCGTCGTCGTCGTCGTCGTCGTCGTCGTCGTCGTCGTGGTCGTGGTCGTCTCGTCGCCGTCGTCGTCGTCGGGGCCCGGCCCACGTCTTCCTCGGGATTGTGGCCCCCCGCGGGGGTGGCGCGCATGGCAGCGAGTTTTGACTTCAACCAGCGGCATCCTGCCAGAGGATTGTCCGCGCAGCTTTGCGAGCACGTGTGGCGCCAGAGACGCTGCAGGAGGGCTGCCTCTTCTCCTTCCTCCCTCCCTTCGCCCCCTCTCCGGCCGGCGCTGCCAGGTAGTCGGCGGGCGAGGCACCCATGTTGCTAGTCGGCGGCCTGCGGCACCTTTTCAACGAACTGGTGCCCTTGTGGTGCAAGCTATCGTGTCCCCTGTCCCGGCCGCGTGGCCGATGGACTGGGACATATTGACATCTTCTGCGCCGAGCAGCCGATGGATGCTGCCTTCCTCCCTCGCCCCTTTCCTCCCGCTTTCCTCCCTTCCTCCCCTCTCCCTCCTCCCTCGCTCGCTCGCTCGCCGCCCTCTCGCTCGCTCGCTCGCTCGCTCGCTGTCCTCCCCTCCTCCCTCGCTCGCTCGCCGCCCTCTCTCGGCGCGCCGAGTCCGTGTCGTGTCCCCTGGGCTCGGAGTGCCGAGCTCGCGAGTGCCGAGCCCACGATGTTGTTGCGCAGCTGGCTGCAGCAGCGCCCCGTGCCTGCCGAGGCGGTCAAGAGCGATCCGCTCTCCTCCCCTCTCGCCTCTTTCCTCGGCCTGTCTCGTCCTCGCTCGCCCCCCGAATTCTGCCTCGCGGGGCTCCAGGTCTGGACCGCGGAGGGCTGGTAGCCGGCGAAGTGGGAAGTGCCTGTGATGCTGTGTCTCGCTATGCTCGAATCTCCGTCCAAAAGTGTGCACGCAGTAGCTGGTAAGCATGAGTTTTTGTCGTGTCTCTAGAAGTTTTAATGCCCCAGGCGCCGCCCTGCTGTCGGCTGACAGCGGCGCGGCCTGTGGCGCCAGTCTCCCGCCAGGCTCGCCTGCCGGGCACTCCGCCCCACGGGCCGCTGCTTCCCGTCGGCCTGTGGCCCCATTGTGGGTGACGACGGGCGTGTGCAGCTTATTCCACCATTCATTAGATATGACATCGCCTGTTGTATTGTATGCGGGTCTCACACGACCGTGCTTCCTCTGCTTTGGCATCGAGGCTGTCTGCAGGTTGTTGTTTTTGTCCCTTTCCCCCCTCCCTCCTCTTCCTCCTCCTCCTCCTCCCTCCGCTTCTCCAGTGCTGCTGTTTGTGCTATCCCTTCAAACACATCATGTTCAGTCGGCGTAGAGGCCGCAGGGTAATCCGCAGCATCCGCCGCTACTTGTTTTACCAGTCCTTCTCTCCTCCTCCTCCTCCTCCTCCTCCTCCCTGATTGTGGTGACGCCTACCCGATTGGCCTTTCAGAGTTCTGCGCAGCCGCTTTCGCGCTTGAGGATGGTACGTGCCCGCGGCTGTGTGCTTCGCGTGGTGTGCTGATAGCCCCCATGAGGGGAAGCGGATTTGAGCAGCGTGGTTGGCAACATCTGTCATTCGCATCGTCTGTTTAAGCCCGAGTCCGGGGCCACTGCAGGTGTTTTTGCATTCGTCACCGCATGGAGCACTGGCAAAGCGAGCGAACCTTCAGGCGATTTCTTCCCAAACGAATTGTCCTCTCTCTCTCTCTCTTTCTCCTCCCCTGGACCTCTTCCCTCTGTGGGCAGCGAACCTCCCCCCAAGGAGGAGGAGGAAGAGGAGGAGGAGGAGGAGGAGGAGGAAGACGAGGAGGATGAGGAGGAGGAGGAGGATGAGGAGGAGGACAGGAGGAGGAGGAGGAGGAGGAGGAGGAGGAGGAGGAGGAGGAGGGGGAGGAGATTGGAGGATTGGGAGGATTGGAGGATTGGAGGATTGTTTGGAGGGTTGGAGGATGGAGGATTGGAGGATTGGAGGAGGATTGGAGGGTGAAGGAGGAGGAGGAGGAGGAGGAGGAGGAGGAGGAGGAGGAGGAGGAGGGAGGAGGGAGGGAGGAGGGAGGAGGCCCCCCCCGCCCCGCCACCATCCAGGTGCAGCAGATCCTCGACCAGGCCACCCGTGGCGTCGAGGCCTCTGGCTTCGAGCTCCCGCTCGCGGGCAGGGACGGCAGGCCGGGCCCCCCTGGGGCAGGAGCGGAGGGCGGGGCCCCGCGCGAGCCACCGCTGCGAGATCCCGGCCTGCGGGCGGCCCTCTCGGGGCCGCGGGGCCAGCAAGGGTGAAGGGTTTCTCCGAAGGGCTTTGGCGGCCCCTCCTCCTCCTCCTCCGCCTCCTCCTCCTATTTCTCCGCCTCCTCCTCCTATTTCTTCTCCTCCTCCTCCTCCTCCTCCTCCTCCTCCTATTTCTCCTCCTCTTCCTATTTCTCCTCCTCCTCCTCCTCCTCCTCCTCCTCCCTCCTCCTCCTCCTCCTCCTCCTCCTCCTCCTCCTCCTCCTCCTCCTCCTCCTCCTCCTCCCCTCCTCTTTCTCCTTCATCTTCTCCTCATCCCCCTCCTCCTCCTCCTCCTCCTCCTCCTCCTCCTCCTCCTCCTCCTCCTTCTCCTCGTCCTCCTTGGGTCGTCTACGGCCACATGGGGAGACCGTGCAAGCCAGGGGCCCAGATCCAGCGGCCACCAGAGGCCCGAGCTCTGGCCCGAAGGTCAGGGGCAACGCTGAGGAGAGAGTGTGGGCTCCAGGCCTCCCAGATGGTGTCGGAGGAGATGGGGTGGGAGGGTCGCGCCGCATCGCTGATGCATCGGCGATGCGGCTCGATGTGGAGCCCGTGATTCCCCACGCCGACGTCGGCGATGCATCGCCGACGTCCCCGATGCATTGCCGACGCATCGCCGATACATCGCCGATGCATGGGCGATGCGGCGCGATCCTTCGACCCCATCCCCGAAGCTCTGACCATAAAGAGCTCTTCTCCCACGAGCTGGGCCAGCGCAATCGCAGGAGTTTTGAGAACGATGTGAGAGGAGGCGGAGGAGGAGGGGAGAGGAAGAGAGGGGGGAGGACTCGGGGGCAGCGTTTGGGGGCCGGGGCTCGAGAGCGAGCGAAGTTTCGAGGCTCGAGGCCCGAGTGTTTCGGACGTTCCCGTGGGTTCTCGGCGGCCCTCTGGACTCGGCAGGTCTGCAGCGGCTGCGCCTCGCAGACGGCGTCGCAGGGGTGTCCGGATTGTCCCGCACGGCCGCTGGAGAGCGGAGTCAGGACCCCCAAGGCCACTAGGGCATGGGCTCCGGAGGGGATGCGTCGACCTCCCGTCGCCAATTCGCCGACAGGGGCCCGATTGCTCACCGCGCCAGGGAGCGCTTGGATTGGCCGGCGGGCCCCATCGCCGATCTGTCGGTGGTGCCACGCCGGTGCCAGGTCGATGCTTACCCCTCCCCCCGAGCCAGGCCCCGCCTGGCGTTCACCCTCAAGGATGAGGCGGGAGGAGGGAGGGGGAGGGAGGAGGGAGGAGGAGGAAGAGGCGGAGGAGGACGAGGAGGAGGGGGAGGGGGAGGAGGAGGAGGGATGAGGAGGAGGAGGAGGAGGACGAGGAGGAGGAGGAGGAGGAGGAGGATTAGGAATAGGAATAGGAATAGGAATAGGAATAGGAATAGGAATAGGAATAGGAATAGGAATAGGAATAGGAATAGGAATAGGAATAGGAGTAGGAATAGGAATAGGAATAGGAATAGGAGGAGGAGGAGGAGGAGGAGGAGGCGGAGGGGAGGAGGCTTGGCTAGTGGCAGGTCCGTGGTCCTCGTCATGAGCATCGTCACGGAGAAGGACCCCGCCCCGAGTGGGCGCGCGGGGGGGGGAAGATCCGAGGAGCGAGGAGCGAGCTTTGCTTGCGCCCACGCGCGAGGAGCGAGCTTTTCCTCTGACCACTCGTCAAATATTCAGGAGGAAAAGAAACACACAGACACAATGAATCCTCGATTTCCCAGAAAATATGGGAAAATATGGGAAGTGGGCGGGAAGACAGAAACCCAGAAAATATGGGAAAATATGGGGGATTATTTTATTTGTGTGTATTTATTTGTGTGTCCTGGGGCCCCTTCAAATATGGCCGCAGGGCTGAAAATGAAGCTCAGCGCACGCGCGACGAGGCTGCCTTCGCTCCGGGAAAGCTCCGACGTTGCGGAGGGGCGTGGCACTCACAGCCGCACCCGCGCTCCAGGGAGACGCCTCGGCGACCGCGCTCTGCAGGCGACTCCTCTAGGGGAACAGCAATGGCATAAACATAAAGACTCGGAGGTCCTCGCGGATTTCTCGGATCGGCGCTGGACCCCCCTCCGTGGGTGGCGCGAGGAGCGCGCCATCGGCGGCGCCGGAGCCGCCGCCAGGGGGTCCCAGCGCCGATCCGAGGAATCCGCGCGGCCCTCCGAGTTTTTATGTTCATGTCATTGTTTGTGCCCTACAGTCGGGGCCCTGAAGAAGGAACCCTTTTCGTTGGGGAGGGGCTCCGTGTTCCTTAATTGTTTCCCAGCTTGCCTTAGATTTCCCTTAGGTCTTCGATACAAAATCGAAGTTCAACTGGTGGAAAGTAGGGGCCTCGGTCCTTATTTAGGGTTCCTTAGGTCAAGCCCCCGACTGTCTTCTCGGGCACGCTGGCGCCGCTCTCAGAGAGGGAGGCAGTCGGCACGGACAGCAGCTTTCGGAGCTTCTGCGCACCTCGATCGGATCCGTGGATCTGGCGCGTGGGCGGGAGGTCCACGGCTCGGGGCAGGTACCCGCCGCACCCCCCCCAATAGAACCCCCTGGCGCGCAGAGCGCGCCGGCCGCCAGAGGCGGGTGCAGCGCCGATCTAAGGTCGAGGGAGCGCAAACCTGGATTGGGGACGCGTGGATCTGCGGCGGGTCCCGCTTCCGTGCAGAATCGGCGCAATCCGTTCCCAACTCGGGCGGCATGTGCCTCGGGGCTCGGACGTTCGAGTTTGTTCGGGACGTTCTCGTCGGTTCTTGGCGGCTCTCCTGGCCTCGGCATGCCTTCCAGCAGCTGCGCCTCGCCGAGAGCGTTTCGGGGGTGCCGGAATTGTCCCGAAAGGCCTCCAGAGAGCCGAGTTGTGACCCCAAGAACCGCCAGGGCATACAGTCGAAACCGGTGGTGAGGATGGGACATTTTCCCAAGCGTGCCCTTGCATCCGTGCCTCTTTGGTCCATCCTTGACTACTTTCGAGGGCCCGCCGCGCTCGAAAAAGCTTAAACACGGGCGTCCAAGGGGCGTGCATTCTTACCGCGCATTCCTCCTCCTCCTCCTCCTCCTCCTCCTCCTCCCCCTCCTTCTCCTCCTCCTCCTCCTCCTCCTCCTCATCCTCCTCCTCCTCCTCCTCCTCCTCGTCCTCTTCCTCCTCCCCATACTCCTCCTCCTCCGCGGCCTCGTCTTCCTCCTCCTCCTCCTCCTCCTCCTCCTCCTCCTCCTCCTCCTTACTATCAGTTTTGATTGCAGGCTCAGGCGGGGGCCGCATCCACCTCCAATACCCGTCGGTCGTTGAAGGTAGCCACTCCTGGATTCCCAGAACCCAGTCTACCTCAAGCGCCTTCCTACTTCAAGGCTCGATCTGATTTTGTGCAGCGTGTTGTTGCTCTCTGGGCGGGCCCACAAGCCCAGTCTGCTTTCTTCGCCCCTCCTGCTGCATGCTTCTGCCTGCTTCTTCCAACCGATGGGTCACCCATGCATCGCCGATGGGGGGCATCGGGCCCCAACCCGCCTGGGAACATTCGGATCAACATCTGCGATCGGGGGCCGTCGCTGATCCATCACCGCTTCCAGCTCGCTGCTCCCTCCCCCGCCCCCCTGGAGCGGGCCCGCCCCCCGTCGTCGATCGACTTGCCTCGGGCACGCAGCTCCTGCTTCTTGGCCGCTCCGCCTCGACCTCTCCCGCAGACGCCCTGCAAGAGGTCGACGATCAGTACGTCCAGGCTTAAGTCGGGCCTGTCCCTCTACAGGGGGAATATTCAAAAGTAGTCAAAAAATAGTCTGGGGACGATTTATCCACAATTTTTGAATCTGTTTTGGTTAATGTTGAGGTATGTACTATTTGTCGTTCCAAATCCGCCTGTAGGGGGACATGCCCGACCTAAGTCCAGGCTTCTGTTTTCTCTCCTCGGCTCCGGCGACCCCGCCATTCGGAGAACGAGAAGCTGTACAGTGATCGTTTCCTTCTTCATCGTTTTGCCGATCGGCGCGGGCCGTCGCAGCTCCCCATCCCCCCCCTCATGGAGTTGGCCGTTTTTGGCGCCGGTTTCAAGCAGGTGGAGTCTCCCCCAGACGGCGCACGGTTCCAAACAGTCGCACTGAGCAGAGGCCCGGAGCAAGACCCCCCCTTCCCCCCACCCCTTTCCGCCCAATGTCGGAACGCCAAATAAGGAAACCTTCACATTGGTATTCTCGGAGGTCCGCGTGGACTTCATGCAACGCCTCTGGCGCCGCCCCTGTGCGCGTGGCGCACTCCGCGCGCCAGCAAGGCGGGAGTCCAGGGACGGTCCAAGACAGCCTCGCGGACCTCAGAGAAGGTCGCGGAGGAGCATTGGAGGAGGAGGAGGAGGAGGAGGAGGAGGAGGAGGAGGAGGAGAAGGCACTCCCACGAAAAGGAGGAGGAGGAGGAGGAGGAGGATTGGATGAGGAGGCGAGGAGGAGGAGGAGGAGGAGGAGGAATAGGAGGAGAAGACACTCCAAGAAAAAAGAGTTGAAGAGGAGCAGTAGAAGGAGGAGGAGGAGGAGGGGGAGGAGGAGGGAGGAGGAGGAGGAGGAGGTCGGGTTCAAGGGAGAAGTGGGGCAGGACCCGAAGTGCTGTCCCTCCGGCCTTCTCGTGTGCAGGTGTTTGCTTTGCCTCGTGCTCGCTCTTGTGGCCTCGCTCCTCGAGTGCTGCAGCTAGCCCCCGCTGCTTCTCCGCGCCCCGCAGCCAAGGCATCCTCCTCCTCCTCCCCTCCTTCTCCTTCTCCTTCCCTTCCTTTCCTCCCTCCTCCTTCCCTCCTCCTCCTCCTCCTCCTCCTCCTCCTCCTCCTCCTCCTCCTCCCTCCGAATCCCCAATCCTGCCTCTTACTCCTCCTCCTCCTCCTCCACCCCCTCCTCCTCCTCCTACCCGTCGATCCGCCGATCTGACGTGCCAGCAGCAATTAGGTTCGTATGCAGTCGAAATCCAGACAGCTGCCAAGGC